CACTGGAAGAAACTGCAGATAGGCCAGTCCCGAGGAAAGGGGGAGCTGTAAGAGAGAGTGGAGCAACGCAGAGTGTATTGGGACACGAGAGGCTTTGCTCTGGGCTCGGGAGGCCTGGGGTTGTATTCTGACATTGTCACCACCTTCGTGATCTGGGGACAGAAGCTGCGTTGAGCTTTGTCTGCCCTTTTGCAGAATGGAACCATCCACATGGGCCTTGCTAGGTAATATGCCCTCCTAGGTAGCCCTTTTGTTGGTTTTGCTTAGTATGTTTTTATTGTTATTATTATTATTTTAGGGAAGGGTCTGTGGGGTGTTCAGGGTCTCACTACTAATCGGACTCATAGTGATCGCCTGTTTACAGCCTTCCAAGAGCTGGGGTTACAGGCATGGACACCACCATGCCCAGTGTCGATTGCCATCTCAGCCTGCCCCGGGGGCAGGGCTGGCACAGCAGGCCTGGGGATTGAACCCGTGGCCCCGGCACCTGCTTGCAGGTGCTTTAATCTGCTATTTGGCCAGCCCTAAAAAGTTGAGTAGGATTTTGGGGGGGGGGGCGCTGGCTCAGGCAGCCTTAAGTGGGTGTGCTGTGGCATGTGGAGCTGGGGATCGAACCACAGTCCCACAAGCCTGACTGGGTTTGCCCAGTCAGGCATTTAAACAACTGAGCTAACCAGCAAGCCCCTTGCTTAGTATATTTTAATTCCAGGTACCATACTAAGCATGATTCTTAAAGGATATGATTTTATCTTCATAGTCCCTGGGTGACGTGACCATTCCATAGGAAGGGAAAGCAGGCACTGCCTAAGGCTGCAGAGCTGCCTGTACATGGAGCTCGGCGTGGGCTGCAGTTGGAGGCCTTCCTGGGCACCAGAGTGGTGCACCCAGTGGGCGGCTTCCAAGTGACCTTGTCTCTCCTGGACTTCCAGACCCTCTCGTGTCTGCTTCGTGTGCACATCAGTCCCAGGTGCCCCTTCCTGACCCTGCTGCCCATTGTGGGTGGCGCCTCTGGACTTCAGAGTCTTCAGCTGTGGGATCTGTCCCAGCACTATTGGGCCTTTCGCATTCTGTGAAATTTATCTGTCGATTCTAGCTCTCTTGTTGAGATAATTGCTGAATTACTTTTAAGCCCAAATTTTTTCTAGTCTCTTTTGGGTGAAGTCAAATTCAAGAGGGAAAAAAAAAAATCAGAGTTTTAAGCCTCTGTTGCTTCCTTAAACTACAATTAAAAAACCCCAAAAAACAGCAAAGGCCATTGTGACATATACTTATTTCTTTGGGATTTTGTTCAGAGATTGTTTTACAGGTCATGGGAGTGATCTTATGTTGTATTCTTTAATTAGAAAGGAAATACTGTGTGACACAATGTAGTTACCAATTACTTGAAATGAATGTATATCAAATTTACAAAGGCCAGAGCTCACATAGTTCCCTGGGCTGGACAACCGAACCTTAAGCAGGAGTTACTGAGCAGTGAGCCCGGCTTCCACAAGCGACACGCGGGCACTTCGTGAGCACAGCCCATAGCAAGGTGAGCGCACTGCGGCGTGGGGAAGGGCTTTGTTAACGTTATGATGTGCTTCCTTGTTTTTCAGTTCTTCCCCTACATCCTGCTACTGTTTGCCATCCTCCTGTACCTGCCTCCGCTGTTCTGGCGTCTAGCAGCAGCTCCTCATATTTGCTCAGACCTGAAATTTATTATGGAGGAACTTGACAAAGTTTACAACCGCGCCATTAAGGCTGCAAAGAGTGCCCGTGACCTTGACCTGAGAGATGGCGCCTACGCAGTTCCAGGTGTCAACGAGAATACAGGGCAGAGGTAACTTAGCCCCCATCTGGTTCCTGGACAGGTTTTGTAGTTCAGGTTCTCTGCCTTTTTCCTACCAGTCTGGAACTTGAACTTTTATTGCTATTAGAAGGGAGAAGAAGGACTTCATCCATCTAGTGACAGTCAAGGCCTCCCCAAAACTCACCCCATCCCTCTCTCCCTGCCACCTATCTGTGTATCAAAACAGCTTTCCTGGGCTGGGGAGATAGGTCGGCGGCATAAGTGCCTGCCTGGCAAGTGCAAGGACCCAAGTTCTAAAAATTTCTAAACATTAATTCATTTAATGTACTTTAAACTGTAAAGGGAAAAGTATTTTATTATTGCTCTAATGAAGTTATAGGTGGAGGAATATAGGAGTTTGAGATGTTTGATGTGATACTGTGGGATGTTATTGTCTTTCATATTTGGCGGTCTTTTTAATGGTGTAAATTATTTTGTTTTCCCTTTCTTTTTAGTTTGTGGGAGATATCCGAAAGCCACTTCAAGTACCCAATTGTAGAGCAGTATTTGAAGACAAAGAAAAACTCCAATAATTTAATCCTCAAGTACATTAGCTGCCGGCTGGCCACACTCACCATCATAGTGTTAGCCTGTATCTACCTGGGCTATTACTTTAGCCTGTCTTCACTCTCAGACGAATTTGTCTGTAGCGTCAAGTCAGGGATTCTGAAAAATGACAGCACGGTTCCTGATCGGTTCCAGTGCAAGCTCATTGCTGTCGGCGTCTTCCAGCTGCTCAGCTTCATCAACCTCATGGTGTACGTTCTGCTCACGCCTGTGGTCGTCTACACGCTGTTTGTTCCATTCCGGCAGAAGACGGATGTTCTCAAAGTGTATGAAATCCTGCCTACTTTTGATGTTCTGCATTTCAAATCCGAAGGGTACAATGACTTGAGCCTCTACAACCTTTTCTTGGAAGAGAATATAAGTGAACTCAAGTCATACAAGTGTCTTAAGGTACTGGAGAATATTAAAAGCAGTGGTCAGGGGATCGATCCAATGCTGCTCCTGACTAACCTTGGCATGATCAAAATGGATATAATTGACGGCAAAACTCCTGTGTCGGCAGTGACCAAGGGAGAGGAGCCGGGGAGCCGGAAGGCAGAGCTCAAAGGTAGGGTTAGCTTTCAGCAGAGCGTGTGGAAGCACACCGAGGCCTTTGCATGAACACTGACCAGCTGGCCTTGCTAGCACTTGAGCCTTTGTCATAGCATGGTCCTAGGGGGAAGGTTCCCCAAGGCTGGGAGAGAGAGGGAGCTGCCCGCAGTTTCCACAGAAGGAAAACTGCTTTCTGGTGTGTTTTCCTCCTGTCACTCTCCTCATCACTCTGCCTCTTACTTCAGCAGTCCTTCGAGGTGTCTTCCTTGCTTACATTTGGTTACTGGTTTTTCTGTCTGTGCCTCCAGTCCTCTTATTTCTTCTTCTCCAACTTTTGTCTTTTCAAGGGGGTTGAGAGTTTATCAGCTTAATTGCTACCTTGGCCTGACCTCACAGTGCTTTGAAATTAGGCTGAGAAGAAAGACACAGTAAAGCAAAGTACATGAGGATTTTTAGCAGAAGAGAAGTTGAGTAGTACTGGTAATTTCTGCTACATATAAACATTTGTTTTCGATTTCAACAGATTTGGACATACACAGTGAAAGTAAAACCAATAATGAAGAGAAGAGTGCTCGACAGAGACTTTTGAATTCTTCCTGCTGATTTAGTGTTGAACTCCAAACTCTGGCTTCCGACGCAGGATGCGTTATGATTAAGGCGCTCCATTGGGTTCACAGTTGGTTTGCAGTAACTGGTTTTGAGTAGTGGTAGTGAGCATGTCTTACTGAGCCCCTAGTGAACATACGTCTACGAAATGTTACGAAGGAGTGGTTAACGTCCTCCAAGAAGCATGTGGAGATAACTCATAGCGACTGCATTGCACAGAAATCCACACTGGTGGAATGCAGGCTCTTCACGCGCAGTGCCGCGCCCTTCAGAGTCTCAGATAGACATCGGACATCATCACAGGCAGCGTGACCCAGCGCTCACAGAGCACGTACTTCAGGAGATCTTACATTGCGAAATAATAAGCATATCAGGATATAATTCAGTGTGAATCTCATGTGCCCTTACTTTTTGGACACGGAAAGCGTTTGGTGGCTCTTCATGGCCAGGGGTGGGCCTGCGCTTGGCAGGGTCTCACTGGTGTCCCTCTGGCACCTGGCTCTGGTGCCCTTGAGCGCCCCTTCCAGCGTCGGCGCCTCGCCACGCTGCTGCACTCCGCTCTGCAGGCAGCAGGCCTGAGCACTGCTCTGATTGAAAACTTAGGTAGCAAGATATAGTCGGGCGGCAATTCAGCTCCTACCGTAGTGACTGCAGTGCGAGGAGGAGAGAGCTTCAGAACAAGCCCGGTGGGAAATTGGAGTCTCCGTTTACAGAAGTTAATTCAGTCACTTTCAGAGAGACTGTCTACAGTGTGCGCTCAAGACAAACAACAGAATTTTGCTTAAACATACTCAGAACACAACAAAGTTTACAGGGATTAACGCTCGGCTAAAGTGAGTGAGCACCTCAGCGGTGCTTGCCAGGTGCTTGGAGCCAGAACAGCTTAGTAGATTGTTTATATTTAAGCATAGCTTTTAAAAATACATTTTAGGGCTGGCCAAATAGCTCAGCGGATTGACATGCCTGCTTAGGCAGATGCAGGGGCCAGGAGTTTGATCCCGGGCCTGCCCTGCCAGTCCCTCCCCCAGGACACGCTGAGCTGGTCATTGAGACTGGGCGTGGTAACAGGTGCTGATAATCCCAGCACTTGTGAGGCTGTAAACAGGAGGATCACTGTGAGTCTAGTCTACGCAGTGAGACCCTGTCCTAAATACAGAAAAGAAAAAAAAAATACATTTTAATTTATACAGTGTCAGAATTGAGGTCATTTGGGGACAGTATTCTAGCATTGATTGAAAATTATGAAATAATACTGTAAGTGGATGGCTAAGACAAACACAAACACTACTTCATGGCTTTTTTAGGCTAATGAAAGTAAGTTTCAAACTGTTCCAAATTCTGACCATATAAATATATCTGTATACTCACATTTTATACCAAAATTTCTTAATGAGTCTATGGACCATCCAGTTTTTTTTTTTTTTTTTCTTAAAATGTCCACACATTGTTTAAATACTCCTCAGGAACCTCAGTGTTTACTTTGGAACCTTAAAACCTCAGTGTTTACTTTGGGACTTTAGGGAGAATTGTTTACCTAATAAAGTTTTTTTGTGTGAAGAACAGAAGTTATATAAGCTGCTATCTGCTTTTCAGAATAAACAGAAAAGAAGATTTTGTGTTTTATTTCATGATAGTTTCTGAGGTGAAGCACCATGATAAATATCAAGGATGCAATCAGCTTTATTCACTTTTAGATATTTATTACTATTAAAGAATGTGTGGCTTAGAAATGATAAATAATTGATTTTATTACTTTTTAATGTATTTAGTACAGCGTCTACAGGGTCTCACTACACAGATCAGACTCGTAGTGATCCTCCTGTTTTCAGCCTCCCAAGCGCTGGGGTTACGGCATGTGCCACCACGCCCCATCTGAATTCATTACATTTTTATATCACTATATCTGGCATGTTCTATTGCAACATTTTTTTTAATTTCAAGAGTTTTGAAATGCATTTTTCTAGGATATGATTTTTTTTTCCCAAAAAGCTTCATATTCCTTGTAGGCTCCCCTAATTTGTATTTTGAAATGATGAAACTGGGTATTTTATTCAAGGAGACCAAGAACTCTCTAAACCTCTTCCATGTGTGATTTTGTCAGATGTGTCTACTTGGGGTCCCTGGCCTCTGCACTGGTTCCTTTTCCTGTTCCTACTGGGAATTCCAGTCAGGCCCACAGGGACCCAAGCGGCTCACTGGACACTGGCCATGTGAACCTGAACTAGGAAAGGCTGGTGTCCGAGGATGGCAGAGTCTAGTGAGAGTCAGCAGAGACGTCTGCAGCGTAAGAGGAGAAAGTGATGGACAGAGGCCCAGCCAGAAAGCCGGCAGAAGTGCTGCTGTTGGGAGATGCGTCTCCCCCTCCTCATGGCTGCTGATTCTGAGAAGCACAGTTTTTCGTAGAGGCAGGCGATCCTTTTAAGGTTCTTTAGCCACAGATCCTATAGTTGACGTTTACACTAGAATAGTAACTTTAACAGCGATTTTTAGACAGCGAAGGGGCTCATTTGCCTTCTGTCCCTTCCCTTCCAGTGGGTAGGACAGACAAGCCTGTGTGGACCTGGAGCTGCCAGTGGCTAACAGTTGTGACTCCAACAGGCTGGTATAGATACCTGGCGATGCGCTGTGGCCTGGAATGTTAGCTTTTCCATCCTGAGTTGTGGACTTGCAGGACTGCTGTCGAGTACCAGTCTCCAAGGGCAGGCAGGAGGAGTGCTTTCCTAGGTACTAGCTGCTTTATAAAGGGCATAGAGTGGAACTGAACGCCGCAAGGTCACTGACTTTGTTTCTGGCTCCCGTCTGCCTAGCGAGGAGACTGCTGAACCAGACTTGGTGTGGCAGGTGGGAGGGCAACAGACGCTTTTGGGGCATAAATGTTCTGAAAGCCTGGCACACTTTTAATTTGCTCACTGGTTCAAACACAAGCCTCCAGATTCTTGAACTTTGGGCAGTTACAAGCCAGCCCCCTTGTAGATATTTTTTTAAAGCTATGGGCTGATCTCCTCATGAAATGCACCATTTTAAATGTATTCCAGAGGTGGTTAGGGCCTGTGCACATGCAGCGAGATTTATTCTAACATTAACAGTGAAGGAGCAGTCCCTCTGCAGGGAAGGGGCTGCTTCTGCCCAGGAGAGAGCTGAAGTTGTGGTTGAATGGGCTCCCTCTGTGTCCTAGGATCAGACTGAACAGACGCTAACGTGGTGAGAAGCAGTGGGCTGGGGGTAGCCACGCTCCCAGTGTTCGCTGCTCTTTCTCCCTGGCTAACACCTTGTTATCATTGTCTTCCTTAAAATAGTTGTTCAGAGTAGATCCAAAGTGGAGTTTCTTTGTTTTTTGGTGGTGTTTTGTTGTTGTTTTGTTTTGAGACAGGGTCACACTGTGCCTTTCAGGCTGACTTTGAACTTGCCATCTAGTGCATACAGTGGTCTTCCTGCCTCAGCTTCCCAAGTGCCGAGATTACAGGTGTGAGCCGCCATGCCTGGCTGTACCACCACACCTGGCAAGAGTTTTTATCCATTTTATCCACGCTCCACAAGCAGCGTGCACTAGGCTGTAAATATTTGAGTGAATGAGTAAACGATGTTAGGATAAAGCCTCGTTTGTTGGCAACTCTAATTTGATTTTAAAAGGCCTCTGCAGGAGGGAAGAGAGCGGGGACATTCATTTAGCCTCTCAGTATAGAGAGGAGTATTTTGGGCAATGACTAGCTTTCCATTGTAAGTAGTGACACTCAGGAGCTTTTTATTAGGGGCTGAGTCATGACTGCTTTTCAGGTTCATGATAGGTTCTGGCCCTAGTAAGAATTGCTGAATTATTATGGTGGTCATCCAATATGGCTGAAGCCCTTATAACAACAGCTCATCTTCCCAGAGACCACCTCCTCCCTGCTTCTCCAGCTCAGCCCAAGATGCAGTTTCCTTTCACCTTTCCCGCCCCCTCAGGGAAGGCCCCCATCAGCTCCTCAGGTATATGTAAGCTTCCCCCTCAAGCCCCACCCCTGGCAAAGGCCATAAAAGCCTCAGCCTCCCTTTGTTCCAATCCAGGGAATTCCGTGTATCTTCCCAAATTCTCTCCATGTCCTCTAAGATAATGAAGCCTCTTTTCCTTTATAATAAAGCCCCTTTCCCTTTTCCTTCTGTGTGTTTCTCCGCTGCGACACCGTTAAAACCTATCAGTTCAGTAAAAGTTCAATGTTGTCTTTCAGTAAGAAAATTGAAGTTTGAAAGGTCTTGGTCTCAGTAATTCCCCAAACTAAGCTTCTTGCATGAAGACGTGGATTGAAATGTGTCATTACCAGTAATTGAGGTTTTTATCTGAGAGCATTGAGAAGAAATGGCTCTTTGGGATGCTCCTTTGTGCCCTCTGCTTTTTGCAGGCACAGTGAAACTTTTTTTTAAAAAGATGCTGTTGTGCTGTGCCAGCCCCACCCCCGGGCAGTTGCGACTGGGTGGCTCCCGCCTGTAATCCCAGTGCTTGGGAGGCTGAAAAGAGGAGAGTTCCTGAGTCCTAGCTACCTAGTGAGACCCTGTAATCCTGTACTAAGTACATAAAAAAAGGAAAAGATGCTATTGACACAGGTGTTATTGTGTTATATGTGGAATGTAATATCCTGATTTGTAATTGATTTTCCTGCATGCTTTAAATAAAATGTGTTGGTGAGTCCCCCTTTAAAAAGCTGTAAAAATACTTTGTGACTAAGGCGTGTAATTTGATTATAATTGTTCAAGTTCCTGTAAGTTGTTTAAGGTTTTCCTGTCTTAAGGTGCTATTTTCTCTGCCCACCAGAGGAGAAAAATCCAGGATTCTGTGGTGCAAGAAGCATTCCCTACAAAGCCTGAAATAATCAGCTCCTCCTTACCAATTTGCCTTTTAAAGCACCATAATTAGAATTTGATATTCAGTCAAGTAGTGCTCTCTGTGTAAGTTAAATTCTGTTTAGTGACTAAATTTCATCAAAACTTTTGGAGAAAAATAGGTATGTTAGTTTTGCTGAGCCATTTGGGGAGAATACAGCCAACAGATGAAGAAAGACTTTAAAAATTAAGATCCTTTCAGATTTAGTCTCATGATGATCTTGAGAGGAGCACAAAGGATGGTGTTAAGAAATGAGCCTTTCGGAAAACACAGATTTTGAAAGCTCTGCGCTTGTAGTTGTCACTGCTGTGTTTGTCCCTGAGAGTGTCTTGACCGGCTCTTGCCCTCTAGCCCTTCTGCTTTGGCTGACTGCAAGGAGAACGGCACAGGGCGAGGCTGTTGTGTCTGTAGCCAGTGTTTCATTCTGCATCATGGTTTACACTTAAATAAAACTTCTCTGGATAATAAAATGTGTTACTGTTTTCTCCTTTTCCTTTCCAAAAGTTATTTCACAGAAAATATAACAAGACATGAGTCCTGTGTGTCTAGGGGCTCATCCATCCCTGCTGGAGGAATAAACTTGAGTAGGCTCCTTGGTACTTGATACCCGCTAGCAATAAGCAAAGGAAGACAGGCCTTGATGAAGCAGCCGTACACGTGGAAGCATCTAAAGCAGGAGTCACGTTCTTCTTGAGAATTGTTTTCCTGAGCTTGCTGTCAGCAAGTCCTGCCCCTTTACCTCTAGAGGAGAGCTCGTCACACTGGCCAATTAATGCAGTGTGATTGTGGGTCATGATCAAGACCATGCAAAATTTTAGTACAGTTCCTGGCATATAGTAATTACTCCATAATTGCTGTCTTCAATTATCGTTATGCTGTTTCCTACGATGATGCCCCTGGTGTTTATGGGAATCTTAGATATTTTATTTGTTTTCTGTTGCTGCATAACAAGCTACTTGCTGCAAGCTGAGCACCTGGAAGCCACACATACTGTCTTGTGGCTTTCTGTGTCAGGACTTTGGACCCAGCCTAAGTCAGTCCTCTGTTCTGGAAGTGGGCAGCTTGTGTTTTCATTTGGAGGCTCAACTGTTGAAGCTGCTGCTTCTAAACTGCCTCGAGTT